AATTTTATTAAACTACTTTTTATGTTATACCAATTAGTATAGCATAAAATTGTAGCTAATAATCCATATAATAAAAGTATACAAGTTTTAAGTTCTTATTTCTGTAAGGCAATATTTAAAAAAAATCCTGAATTTCCCCCAAATGTTTCACATGTGATACATTTTCTCTTCTCTATTTTATCCACCACCCCTTCCAAAAGTAAGAAATTAAATATTAATAACTCCCTATAAAATCATCATTGCTCAGACAAACCATAATTTTTATAGTCTTCAATTTTGTTTGGTTACAGAGCTATCAAATATAAAATCTTGCCACACCCACCTGTCTCATCCTCTCTTTCAGGATTTGTTAATAGTTCTCTCTTATGTTTAATTATATATTATCTATAACCAATAGAAAGCCAAGGTTTTCATATACCAAATGACACATTACATTACATTGTGTTCTGAACAGATAATCGTCAATTTAACTTGTAACACAAGCTTCGTTCCCATGGGAAAGAAACGACTAGCTTGGATGAATTTGTAATGGCTCTTTTCACATTGTTAGAAAGCCAGAAAGATTGTGATTGTTAGAGGAAATTGTTTGATTTTTGCATGTTATCATTCTATGTTCTTTGGTGCATTATTTAATAAAATAAAAATTATTTAATGCACTAGTACCATTAGTATAAAAAAAGTAGGGTTAAGTATAATCAACAGTTGATAGCAATAAAAAAGAATACTTGGGTAAGTATTTTTCATGTTTTTCATATTTATTCTTTATTTGTTATTCTAAGAGTAACTAAAATGTAAAAATAGTGATCTCTTTAGGTTAGTTAAGGTTAGATTAGATAAAATACATAATAAAAATGTTTCATGTGGCACACACACGAGCAGCTCATGGATAATGTAATTTGATAGCGTAACATGAGCTCCATTTTCTCCAAGTGATTTACAACTTATGATGCAAATAGTAGTTAGTTTCAAAGGGCAATAAAACAATAACATTAGTTATAAATATATGTATACTGTTACGAGTTTAAAGCTACTTAGGATAAATGAATGTAGTTTTGTAGTTTCATGTTACAATTGGATGTCATTCTAGGAAGAAAGATAAAAGATAATATAGATTTTTTTTTTTTCTAGTGGTTATAAGGTTGGTTAAATGGACCAAACCTGTATAGAGTTAGGGTAGAGAAAATAACAGATAAAATATAAAGTTTTATTGAAAACAAACATTTGAAATATATTTAAGAGGTTTTAGAGATTTTGTGAAGATATACCCAATATATAGAGAGTTATAAGTGACACTGTGACTTCTCATTTATACATTATTTTTTTCCTCACAAGGGCTTCAGGCTGTTCAACCAATTAGAAACACATCCTGTAGTTATTGCCAAGCCAGAATATAAGATTTCAATCTTCTGTATTCTTTCTTTACTAAGATATCACTATATTTGTTCAACCCACATTAACATGTCTTCCTCCAATATCCTATGTCTGTAGAAAATGTCTATAAATCATTCTGACATGGATGTTAGACATGTTTATAAACAATAGAAAGATAAATTCTACACATCATAGATCAGGCAGTTTTCTGTTTTATGTTTTAGCTTTCAAAGCCAATAGTTCACCAGAAGAGTTTGATGTGTTTATACCAAAGTGGTTGCTCAAAGCATTAATGAAATTAATTATTATAGTTTATATTATACATTATTATAGTTTTGGGACATTATATTAGTGTCTGATATATTTTTATGTTTTAAATTCATATTTGAAAACTACGTGAATTATTTTTAGACAACCAACATAAAAAAAAAGGTTTACTAAACCATGCATCCAAGTGCAAAAGACTTCAAGGTTAAAGTAAGTGTTAAATATCATGGCTTTTCTGTATATTTTTCATTTAATGTTAAATGTTTTTTAACAAGAGTAACTAATATGCAAGATTAGAAAGTTATAAGGTTATATAAGAAAATTTTACTTGAAAAAAAGACAAACATTTCTATTTTAGGAATGCTCACAGTGTGTTCCTCTATAGTTTGTTTACCCAAAGCTCTCACCAGGTGGTTTATTGCTTTGTTATGCTAATTAGACATTGTTCAGAGAGCAATAAAACAATAAAATGAAATAAAATCCTATAGTGTTAAAGCAGAGAAAATAAGAGATTAAGTATAAAATTTTACACATAAGAGTTTTTAGTATAGCAAATGAAATCTCTTAGATATAAAGAAGTGTTTTTATTCTTAGCAGTTCAATCACCTTTCACCCAGACTGACAGAGTAAAGGTCTCTTAAATTTATAGGCAAACCTTTAATGAAAATACTTTATTAAAAAATCTGATTTTCTGTGTACGACAGACTTGAAATGTTTAATAAAATTTTGCCAAATTTTGTGAAGATGCACTTAGTACGTTCAGAATTATAATGGTTACATGGTGGTTATAAGGTTGGTTAAAATATATATTCGTATATTTATTTTAGATGATATAAGTATGGTTTTTACAAGTTAAATTTAGTGTATAAGATAGTGCAAAGTTATAGAAGCTGAGATTGAGATTTTATGTTAGATCATCAAATTATTTGGAGATAATCCTCAACATGAAGTTAAAGCTTTAGAGAACTAATAAAATTGGGAAACATTAAATTGTTAAATTACACAAATGATGTCAGTCATTATTTTTTTCTTAAGTATATATTTTTTTAAATTATGAAACATATGTTTATACTAGCAAATTTGTGTACATAATAGCAGAAATTTTATTTATGACTTTTCATTTGTTTTATTTATGACAGTGGCCACAGATTGTTGGGGTGGATGTACTGCCAGATATTTGTATTAACTAATAAAATGAGAGCTAGAGTCTGAAGTTCCTGAAGTTGATCAAACTATGTATTATTGAGCCATATTAAATGTAATGGTGGACTCTGCTGGACAAATATTCAGAATAAGGAAACTTTGTAATTTAACTTCATCTGGCTGTGCCGTATGCTATGTTAGTTATTCGTCACTTACCCTTCGTGCATTGTGCCTTCTTCCTGAGCTGCTGTACTACACTGTCCATCATTGACCATTGTCTAGTTAGGTTATCACTGGTTGCCAGATGTATGTAGTTATTTGTGTGTATTTTTTTCTCCTATGACTTGTGTGATGCCTGCTAAATTGTTGTTACTCATGAAAGAATATATTAGTTACTTACTAAGTTTAAAAAATTGGGAATAACTGCTCAACATGCCCTGTGAGGAAGAAATTAAAAGGCATGAGCTTCCTTTTCTTTCTTTTTTTTTCCAGTATGCTGTTTGGTGCTCTCTATTTAGTGAAATATGGCATTTTTCATTTCCTAGTATCTGTTTTTTTGCCATAATTCATTTCATTGCTTAGAACATGTATGTTGTGTTGAGTTCACATCAAGAGAGCCAAATGAGAATAAATATTTAGATATGTAATAGTAACAAGTTGTATATTAAAATAAAATGTGAATTTGATTTTAAAATGTTTAATTTTGTTTTAGTAGCAAAAATGAAACAATTATTATACTTTTTTTATAAATGAATTAACATATTGATTTTTTTTCATCAATAATTTTTGTTGTGAAAGTCTTCCATAGTGACTTCATCTTTATACATTAATTTCATAAAATGTCAGTATTAATTGGGCTGCATCATATTTTTGTTCAGAGCTGCCTGAAATGTTACTGTTAGGCTGTTCATAATTTAGTAGTAAGATTAAATATGAGAATGTTTAGGAAGGCTTAATTTTTTTTAAATATTAAATATCTTCCTATAAGTTGTAATTTATATTAAAATGCATAAAGACTGAAAGTTTCTATACAGGATTAATCATGAAATAACTAAACTGATTTAAGAATGTTTTTGTGAAGACTGATAATTATGATAACATCAGGCAAAAAGTCCAGTAATTTCTACATTTCACATTTTATGCCCAATGAAATGCTAACAGATTAGATTTATACTTAGTAAGGAGGTTTTCTGATACATCTTAAGTAATGGAATTAACTGAAGTAGAATGAGTCAAAATATTCCTCATAATTTGCTCAGGACAACAGAATCTAATATGATTTATGCTGTAGTTTAAGAAAATCCTGTAGGAGAATGCCCACTGTGTTGGTGTTGAGACCACGTTTCTGAAAGGGGTAATACTTGTATACGTGAATAAACAACAGTGGTTGACATTGTTCAGCATCCTGTACAAATACATTCTTGTATTAAACAAGAAAGTCTTAATAAAGGAAAAGAGTGCTCAAAGTAAAAAGTCATGTGTCTTCTTGCTTCATGCTTAAATTGATTTTTAAATACTTTAATAATTTGAAAGAGAAACTTTCCCCACAATTTTGGCAACTTTCCTATTTAAGGTTGTGATAATCAAAGGTTTTAAGTGGTATCTTTTAAATAAACATATTCTTGGATTGCATGACATGCTTTAATTTAAAACTTTTTTTCATTGTACAGAATATGTTTGAACATAAAAAATATTGCATTTGAAGTGACTGATTTTTTTATGTATTTATAAGCTTTCATAGATGTTTTAGGCCTACAAGAACAGTCAGTTTATTTGCTTAATTTGCATACAGTTATTACATTTACTACATAAGGTCACATACACAAATATTGTAGTTGAGTTACTGTAATGAAAATTAAATTTCCAATGAAAGTGCTAAGTAAACAGAAAATTCTTTCTCTTTGAAAGTTCATAAGTGGACAAACATATTTTCTGAACTGGTTTTGATGATTTAGTCTTATTTCCATGTATCTTCATCAAGAGTGTGGGTAGAAACGTTTTACCCCCAGTTTCAACAACGTGTCCATTACTTTAAACAATTCTTACAGGTTCTATATTCACATAAACTACCATTAAAATTGATACACCTACATACTGAAGTTACTACATTTACAAACAGGAACATTGATTTTTCATGTATTACATTAACCTTAAATTGAAGTTTATTTTAGTTAAAATTGCTCAGTACAACAGTCTTTCAAAACTAGATATTTTACCGTTTACCTATTATTCAACAAACGTAAATATGTAATTGAGGAAATGCCGCAGAGAGAGAAGGTTTTGGGGAAAATGTACCTCGTAGGTGTTTTCTCGACTAATCCCATGCTATAGACGCGATCCTCAATAGAGGAGAAAGGGGATTTTTAACTGATATGGTGTTGGTAAAAAACTTGGTTAACCTCGGAGCATTGGAATAGATCCGAGTAATAACATAAGGTTTTTCAAAATATTTATTACATAGTAGTACAGTATGCTTGAGTAATGAGTTCTTGAAAGAAAGAGACTGGACAATGTAGATTAAAAATAAACACTGTATATTTATTTACAAACACGGTGAGTATACTACTTCTCTCATATATTTGGGGCAATTGCTTCTACTGGATAAGTTGTCTTCAACTGATCATCTGTTAGACTGATTAAACTTTCCTTACTTCGCCGGTAATGTCAGATTTACCCAGAATGACTGGTCGTTTTCTTAAAGCATAGGGGAAACCGTAACTTCGAGATACCCTCGGAATTATCATTTAAAAGCACTAGCTGTTGCCCCCTCAGTGGCACAGAGGTATGTCTGCGGATTTACAACACTAGACACAGGGTTTCGATACCAGTGATGGGCAGAGCACAGATAGCCCATTGTGTAGCTTTGTGCTTAATTACAAATAAACAAACAAAAGCATCTTGTATGTATAGAATATATAACAAAACGTACAGTATTATAGGCAGCTAGAACGACTTTCTTGACCATGTATGTAAAAACCTACACATACTCAAAGTAATTGATAAATTCTGAATAAATGCAATAGTTCTACAAGAAAGTATAAATGCATGGTATATTTACCACACTACTAAGTTATAGCAACATGCTAGTTATAGCTTGCAAATATAGTGCCCTGTTCTAAGACACTTATTATGCTGATAAGTAATTGGCTAGTGCAGTCGAACAACTAATGAACTGAAATTTGAGTTGAAACTCAAGATAAAAGAAATGTTGATGTTACATGGTAGAAAAGTTAGATATTCCAAGCTGTACTTTTCTAACTTACGTAAAGATTGTAGTTTACATACAGCGTTTTCAAAGTGAAGTTTCGATAACTAATATTTTATAATATTTGAATATCTCTCCGACTCGTTTTTCTTAAAAGCAATTTGAACACTAGTGAATTTTTATATCAAAGATTTTATATACTAAAGGTGTAGTACAACATTTTGTTTGATTCCTTGCACGTGCTTAATTCTTTTATTCCGTTTATGTATTATTTGGTGATAAAGTTAAGAGTCTGTACACCAAGACATTGACCCTATATAATAAATTATGTAAAAAATAAATGATTGTTTATAGTTTTTTGGCATACTTCTAGTTTGGGGGATCTTTTTTTTTCTTCTTCTTCCATCATATTTCTTAATAGTCTATGAGCCAAATAGATTGTTCGTTAATATTTGGGCGGAAAAAGGCTATGATATCTTTTTAGAAAACTAGCGATCTGTACTTTATGGTGCTGTGTATTTGACACCTTAAAAAAAAGGTATCTGTTAGAATTTATAACGTTACCATGGCAACAAAGTCATGTTTTAAGAAGAAATTTCTTAATAACTTAAAAACCTTTAAAATAACAACTACATCAAATACAGTAATAAGGAAAATATCCACATCTATGTTGTTTGATATGGGCAATTCATTGTTGGTATGATCTTTATGTCATGGTCAAGTCAATAAACTATTTTATTATTTGCAGTTTATTTTTACTTGTTTCAAAACATATAAAAACTATATTTTTGAATCATAAGTAAAGTTTTATGAGCAAAACTAAATTTTGTGTGTCAAATGTTTATTCTTACATAAAAAAATTAAGTTACATAGAACGTGCTCAAAAATACCACGCAATTGCTTAAAGAAACTACATTTCAATATACAACATTAAATGTGATATAGAGGAAGTGTGTGCGTTTTAATGGTGAATTGACCTGCGCTATTAAAGATCAAATTGAAGAAAACTGTAATTTCACTTGTATTTGCTCCATTATTGTCAATAATTATTATTATATCGCAAGCACATTGGACTTTAGATCCTCTTTTAGTAAAAGACAATATATATATTAGATATCATCACAAATCAGTATCATAATTTCAGACACCTAACTGAAAATCATTTGGTGTAAGAACAAGAACTATAATTTATGCATGTATAAAAATGACACTTACAAGCACTTGTATATTCAGTCCATAATATAAACAAGTATGAAACAAAAATATTACAAAAGTTACATAATACTAATAAAAGTGTAACACATCAAATTACATAATACTAATTTAGAACATAATATATAGAGTACATTAAAATAACGAATAATTTTGTAAGGTACTTATCTCACTTAAATCTTTAATATTCATCAAACTACATACTACATGTTTCATAAATTAGAAATACTTAATTTCTAGACCTACTCATCTCCTCGACTGAATCAACTTCAATACTTTCCTCATCAACAAACTATTCACTATGGTTTCTACAGGACTGCATATGACACAGTTCAGTTACTTCTGTGTATTTCAATTTGTTCACAAGACACTTGCACTCGTTTTCTGCATGTACGGGGAAGAAGACGCAGGTGGGACACAAAACAATCTACACCGAGGAGCATTTTCCATATAGCAGCTTAATAGTTTGCTTTAATATTGTGCTTTAAAGGGTGGTGAGCATGGTGGTTGTTGCCACAATTCCACAGCAATTTGTTTGGAGGTTAAAAAAACATCACCGACATGGCATAGTCTACTTGGTCGGCAAAGGTTTGACGGTTTCCTTTTAGTTTCTGTACTACCGCCATGCCTTTTATTATACAAGGTGACTGAGATGCTGGAGAAGTATTTTTCTGCGGGTCTTTGCCAAGCGCTTGTTTGTTGTTTTTTCTCGGTTCACCCTCCGCTGTTGTAAGCGCCCAAGGCAGGGGTCCGAGAGGATAAACAAGAACCTCTTTGATGTTTAGCTTTCTACTTTTCACAAGTATGATGTGAGTAAACAGCTTATGGTCTGTCTTCAGGCTAGCTTCTTTGGTTGCATTGTGGTGAAGGCCTTCATCACTCGTTCAGAAAATGGGGCACTGAATACCTTCACAGGAGGGTTATTTTCAATTCTCTCTTCACAAAATGTCTTGTAAGCTCATTCGCCAGCATCTTGCGTATAAATGATATAATGGAAAACATCTTCAGGAGTGGCTTTGTCACTTGACAGAGAAACAAGGTTATCAACCTCTCCTTTAAATAGGTTTATCCAACTTGATTCCAGCAGGTACATGATACTTTTTACATCAAACTCGTCTTGCAGAATTCTTGTTTGCATTAGGTCTTTGTGAGAAAATCCGCTCTGATAAACGCCTAGAATAACCTTCAGTCAAGTTCAACAATAGCAAATTTCACATGAATAGGAAAAAAAACTCATTTGGTTTATTATATGCTGGCATTTTTTATATAATTTTTTCATTGCCTTGGCTAAACACGAAAGTACATGTTTTGTTTCAAGACATATTTTTTTGGCTTTTAATGAATATATACTGAGCTAAAATGAATTTATCAATTACAAAAATGTACTAGCAACTTCAAAGAAACATTTTTTGGTGATATGCATATTTTTATATAAATGAGCTAAATGTAACACAAAAAAATCTAAACTGAAAAACAATCCATTTGACCTTGGGTTTTAATTGTTAATGTCACAACCACAAATTAAATGCATACCCCTAATAACTTTATACCCAATATACTTGACTTTTGTGGCTTATTTATATTCACGTGGTTGTATTTGCCCTAATTCGAAAAATTTATGCATCAGTTAAACAACGCCCCCAGTGGCACGGCGGCATGTCTTCTGATTTACAACGCTAGAATCCGGGTTTAGTTTACCCGTGGTGGCCAGAGCACAGATAGCCCATTGTGTAGGTTTATGCTTAATTACAAATAAACAGTTAAACTGCTTTTTCTGAAGCTATCTATTGTCATTAGTCTTGCCAACATGGCTTATTGCTTTAGAAAACTTTTTTCTGGTGCTTTAAGTATGTTTCGAAGAATTAGAAAAAAAGGTTAGCAAATTATGATGAAAAAAGTAATTTTTTAGAGTTGACCTTAACCGTCGATTACCGTGATCATATCACAAGTCGATTTTTTTTTTATCAAGAAACGTATTTGATTAGTTGTCTTGGTGAAACCCTTTTGTATATTAAATATTTTTTATAAAAAACTGACTTACCATCATAAGGTGCCCATCACACAGTATCATCATAAATTACAGATTATGGGCTTTTTGAAAATGTATTATCTCCTTTCTACCTGAGTGGTAATGATGCCTACATTTTGGACACTGGTTCATGAACTATTAGGGTTATTGTCAAGGTAAGGATTAGATTGTACATTAGGGATTAGTATTTGTTTCATGAATTTCTTTTCCTTCTTTAAAATTAAGATTTCATTGCAACACACTGCATTTTTTTTTTGGTATTCTAATAATTTATGTTGCTTTTTTTTTGTTCTCCCTTTGACTTAAAATATTTATTAATGATCGCACGTGCTGTAATCTATATATAAAACCTTATCCATTCAAAATAGGGAAATAACATTACACTTGCACATTTTCTGAAGTTTAATTGTCCCAGCAATGGTGATCGACATATTTTACTCTTCCTTTGTTAGTAAGAAACACATCTTTACTCTGAGCAACAGATTCACTGCAAAACTTGTGTTATTGATTTATGGCCTAGTCTGTCAATATGAAAAATTCCATTTATTCGCAGACTTTTCTCACCAGTTCCCTTTACAAGTTTAAAAAAAGCGCAGCACTTAATCTGTTTCTGCGAATATAATGGAAACTGTTCATGGTTATTGTACATATTTGTTGAGATATACTCTGGCACATTTTTCAAATTTATGTGCAGGCACTCTACATGAACTTAATAACCAGTGGCAGCTGCCCTCCACAGTCGTATGGACTATCTAAGAAACACAAACCCAACATACCTTTAAGACCGTGACCCCCGTTGGCACAGCGGTATGTCTGCGGACTTACAATGCTAGAACGGCTCTCAATTGTGTAGCTTTATCAAATACATAGAGCTGTTTAACATAATATATTAGATAATGAGTCTTTGGCTTGACAAGCAGAATTATGTAATCCAAAGCAGGCTTCACAGAATGATACTAATCAATATATAATATAATACGCATTTGAAAAGTAAAGGTGGTTGCTTCCATGTGGCTGGTGGCTCAGAATTAAGGACAACACTATACTACCTGGATTGCACACTGACAAGCATGCTGCAACAAGATTTCGTAACTAGGAGAGAAAAGCCTTTGCTAAATTCCTCTAATTTGTAGATCAATTACTCAGTCTGTGTATTTGACTGAAATTACCTGTCCTGTATATTTTTGACAGTTTTCAATGCCACAAAAGATGGAAAAATACCTATTCTGCTCATGAATTCCTTTTTGCTGTCTGAGTAAGTGCAAAAACTATCTTTGCTGTATTGTTTGTTTGAATTTATGCACAAAGCTACACAATGGGCTATCTATGCTCTGCCCACCACAGGTATCGAAACCCGGTTCTAGCGTTTTAAGTCCGCAGACATACCGCTATGCCACTGGGGGGCATCTTTGCTGTAACAAAATATACTAATTTGATCCAGTACATTCATTTTACTACATATCACTAAGAAGGAATGAAATCCACGTCAATTATAAGAGATAAAACATAAGGTTAGACAGATCCCGTAAGAAGAAACAGATGATAACGTTTTTTGCATCTGCCCTTCATCAGACCTAAACATCGACTCTTAGGATATTATTACGTTTTAAGTAGGTTTGTTAAGCATAAAGTTACACAATGGGCTATCTGTGCTCTGCTAACCACTGGTATCGAAACCTAATATACTCAGAGGTGTTTCTAGGACATTCTAGTACCGGAATTAGTTCACCAATTGGCTTATTGTTGCACTTTCCTGAGGTTGCATACATCCGAGTTTTAAGATCAGCTTTATCTTTAGGACAGTGGTTCCCAACATTTGTTTTTGCATTGCAAAAACCCCGTGCTAAAAATATTTGTTTCACGAACCTCTTTATTTTATTTTTGTTAATGACCACTTCATGGTATGGATATAAATATATTAGGTAAGTACTTATCTCTCCACTTGTGCAACACGCCATTAGAGGGCTTTACACGTATGTCAACCTTGAGGGAGGAAGGGGGAAAAGATGATGACGTTTTATTTCCACAAAGTGTCATCAGAGGACGCGTTGATAGGCCGCCATGACAGGTAATCACGGCAGACGATTATGTAATGGTTCAATAAAGTGTAACCAGTCTATATGTTGCTAGGCAGCCATGACGTAAGAGAGGATGACGTCATAGTTCCACAAAATGTACCAGAGGATGCGTAGCCGAATTGTGGAAAAACAATGCCAAAACAACTTTTATGAAGTTTAAATTCGCATTCCTGTGTTATTAGAGAAACTGATAGATCTGAGAGTGTTAATATTGTTACGACAGCGGAAGTCACGTGACGCTAGTAATACGTCATGATATTCTCGAAGGTTCGTGAATGCTCGAGTGTTTACTAGAGGTGCGGTATTCTTGTATATAAGACTGCCAAGAAGTGACGGCAATAATGTAATTGAATTGCAGACAGAGATAGAGACGGACAATTGAGTCAAGCGCGAGAATCGCTCGTTGTGAATTATAGCGTTTGTTAAAG